AGTATGAAGAACTTGAGTTGACAATTAGGGAAAATGTTCGAAAGGACATTTTTTCAGCTTGCTAAAAATGAAATACTCAGAGATAGTGAAACCGAAACCACAATCGATAATGATGATATAGAAGTTCCATTACCTGTCTATGATGAATTTTGAAAGGCTTTAATGCACTTCAGGAATGACTTTCGATGGTAGACTGGCATAAGATTTTTTTGTGGAGCATGACCAGATGGAAGCATACCCGATAATTGGAATCTGATTACATTTACGGCTACTATGTCACTGTTGACAGTCATAACTTGACGTCGTAGACGATTTCGTCCATCTAGTAACCATTATCCTCATCAATTTCAAGCAACGCAAAGTCCCTCTTGCGGACAGGGTTAACCTCGAATTGAATACGTGTACGTAGTTGAAATTAGAACTTTTCTCTCCACAAACAAAGCCAAACTCTACGCGTTGCTCATCTTTCTCGTTCTGATGGTGCAGACGCGTGATTCTTGCTTACTTTCGATGAGGTGTTTTTTGGAGTTTTCGAGGCCATAAACCGGCTACTCATATGAGCAACGGTGAATAGTTATGATCCATTAAAAAGAAGACGACCATTACTTTCGCTGCGATTTTTATAAATTTTTATCAATTTTCTTTAATAAACTTGACTTGGATTTTTATTCGTGTCCGTTTTCAACCTAATTTTTCTTCTCCTGATATTTAACCGGTAAATATTTACTTTCAGGGTGTCACTTTTGTTGGCCTGTGTAACTTGCTTTAGCCTGTCAATTATTTGATTGATTTTCCGATTTCAAGCAAATATTTTTTTTTTTTTTTTGAATATAAAACCGTTAAAAATTTCTGAAATTATTTGAAATTTTTATACTGAACTTTCGTAAAAAAAATATATCTGGCAACTCCAACTGCACAGCAGTTTGAATGAAATTCACATAAAACTAGAGGCACTAAAGCTCTGACAGTTTTATAACGGACCTGCCAAATATCTCAGCCGAAAGCCGAAGCTGTCAAATGAATTTCTGGCATGAGAGTTTTAGAAACATTGACAGGTGTGCATTTTAGGCGATTTGAAAATCATAATTAAAGCATAAACAAACTATAAATGTCACATACAAACATATTCTGGTTACACTTTTTGCTTTATTTTTACAAGCGAATTTTCTGCCGAAATCGAGTGGTGTTTGAGGTTAAGTAAAAAATATATATTGAAATTTTAATGAACGATAAGTAGATTTTTATTGCCAGCTGAGTATAAAACGAGTATAAAACGGAAAGTCAGGTCACGAGTCCCGGTTAAACCTACATTTAAAATTATACAAAATAAATATTTCTAATTGAGGTTGCCCCTAGGCAAGGATTGTCAAGCCCACCAAATGTATTTCTGATATGAAATGCAAACTCTTTATAAAAAAAACATCAGCATATTACATAATATATTTTCATATATAAACTTATGTTCTTCAAACCATATAACGAAGCTCCGGAAAACTCGATAAACTTTTCCCTAGCAACGGAACTCCCACTTATTTGACATCTTATTGTGGCCCCTCTCGCCAGCCTTTTCTGTTTTTGACTACTCGGCGTCAGATGAAGGCAGTCGCTTTCCGCTTGGTACCTCTGCGTTTTTCTTCTGCTTTCGTCAACTGGCACGTCTTTAAACGCGGGAGTGCTTTCGCCCATCCCGACGGCATGGCTTAACCGGTGTGGTTAGCGACTGATCTATATCAACTACAGCGCCTCGTTCCATCGTCTGTGGCTGGCAATCGCCGGGCTTAAATACAATTGACCACAAATCATCCGCAAAACCTTTCTTATGAAAACTACTAATGCCGATTCAACGTCCACACTTCTGCATTTAATATTAGCAGGACGGGAATTAGAAGTGACTTGTAGGTCTTGATATTTGTTGCGAAGAAAGAACTTTTCTCACTTATTTTTGAATTGCGTTTTCAGTCCAAAGTAGCATCTGTTTGTAAGAGTGATTCTGTCTTGAATTTCAAGGTTGTCATTAATGAAGCTGTTCCTACTTAGAAGAAATTTCCTACAAGATCAAAGTTATGACTGTCAAAATTGATGTTAGTATCCTCGACATCGGCATACTCTAATTATTACAATATTACATAAGATTGTACCCTCTCTGGCTCGTTCTGCTGTTCACACTATTTTCTTCAGCATCAGGTAAGGAGAGGCTTATAAAAGAGATTCACTCCGTCTGACACCTCGTTTGATACCGAACGGCTTGAAGAGGTACTCCCAAGATTAAGTTTCTGGTATTACCATTACCAGTTAAGACAGCCGTGTAAGGCTTGCCGAGATGTCAATTTCAAGGTTCATCATGTATAACTTTTGAATGTTGGTGGCACCGGGATATGAACCCGAGTCTTCCGAATGTCAGTACGCAATGTTAACCACCCGGCTACCATGGACGTCGATTAGATTAGATTTCATATTTTCGCGTACTTAAGGGGTAAGGCCACTATAGATGATCCAAATAATTAACATTTTTATTGCCTAACAAAATTCTTTGAACCTCCGAGAATAAGAAACAAAATCGTATAGGTCCGACATCGATTTCATTTAAATTACGAGCCCTCTTACCGAGCACACCGGGCTGCTCCGATATATATTTGGTTCGATCATTTGGTGACCTTCAACTTGTTTTTGTTAAATCTAAAAATACCAAATCTTTTGTAATTACTTTGTTAGTCTTTCTTTCAAACTTTAAAAGGATCGGCTAAAGCGGATACGAAGAAAACTCAAGATAGCTGAGGATGGGTCAGACTAAAATCCACCACCAACCCAAGCAGAAATTCGACATGTGATTCTCTACGGATTTCGGCGTAATTTACAGCCAATACAAATATTCTGTGAATGCCAATTTGCATTTCTAAGTATATCCGAAGATTCCATACCGAACATTTTTCCGTAGAGGGCGAGCACCGAGAATGTCTACCAAAAATCTTTCCCTGAAGATGTGACTGTAGCTCTGGTGAAGTCCAAAATTGACGAAGACCCACGACGGGCACAGGAAATGATTGCTAATGAATTGCGCTTGAATACCATTTCTGTATAGTGAATATTCAGTAATGATCTGGGATACACGAAGAAATAAGGCCCAAAAAGAGGCTTGAGTGCATTTTCTTCAATTGTCCCTAAAAAATTCGAAAGTAGTCAGTCCGGTTAGTAAAGTCGTTACTGGTAACGAATCTTGGTTTTATAAGTACAATCCAGAAATCAAACTGCAGTCCATGGTATGGAGCCCAACAGGAGCTAACCCAACCGTAAAATCTAAACAACAAAAATCAGTAATGATGTCAGTTTACTTCACACGATCTAAAAGTCACTAGCAAAGGGTCAGATGGTAACTGCAAAATGGTACACCGTGCTTACCAAAAGCTTTCAAAAATTTGTTAGAAAACTGGAAGAAAGAGGATTTGCGGCGGTACTTTTTACATCATGACAACGCGCTATCCCACACTGCTGAAATAACGATTAATTTTATTGCGACCTCTGGGATCGACGAAATGCCAGTACCATATTCTGCTTAAGTAATATATGGCCTTGAGATTTCGAGTTATTTCCAATTCAAAAAAAAAAAAAATTAAAAGGAAAGATCTTTAAGAGCAACGAGGAGATAAATAATGCGGTTAATGCAGAACTTGATGAGCTTTGAAATCAGTATTTAGAAGATGTATTTGAATTGTGCTGCAGATGACCTATGCAACTATAAGGGAAACTATCCTTACCAGAGTAATTTCTGTCCATGACGATAGTCTACATTTGGCCTCAGAAAACAGATCGGCTCCGCCTGCACGATTATAAGAAGGTTAATAACAATACGCCAGTAGTTTCTTCTGAACGCCCTTCTGGTGCCAACAGAAGACACCGAGTGTTCTCCAATTGATGTTTCCAACATGGTGTTGAAGTCTGCCTCTCTTCCGTTTCCATCATTGCATATTTTCAAAACTGGAGAGCGTTCATATATTCAAACAACTTGACCTAGCCAGCGTAGTCACTGCCTCTTGATTCGCTGAAATAAAAACCTCTTTCTCGAAAACTCCTAATGCCGACTCACCAGATATTGTAATCGTCTAGGGCAGCTCAGCATATGTATATATATATATATCATACTCATGCTGATGAACAACTCGTAGAGTTCGGTTTTTGCCAATCCGAAGTAGCACTTGTTGGAAAGGGTGATCCTACATAGGTTTACAACTTCTAGGACGGCATTGTTGTTGGTGTTGATTAGGGTTCCAAGACGCAAATGCGTTGACGGTCTGTTTGATGGCAGAGCCATTACGCTTAATATCTTTGTCTAAATTTGAAAGAACAGTAACAACGTCGCGTAAGCAGCTGTAAGCGCTTGGAGAAGATTGTGCCTCATCTATGTATTCGCTCTGTCTAAAACTTTCTTTGATCCTTCCTTCACGATTCTTAAGGAGCTTTTGGTGATGCTCAGTCGGCTCAGTGTCGACGGTCTTACCAAATTCGTCAAGTTCGTGTACAAGCAGCTCCTTTACGCGCTTTCTAAGGTTGATTTAAGATTGACAAAAAGGCAGTGTGTTTCACAGGTCTTTTCCAAGGGTTATCGCGTGGTGAGAATCTGGTAAATTATTGCATGCAATATTGACAGATCAGACCTTTGAGAGACCGAGAAAATAAGAAAATATTTATTCCTTCTAAAGCAGTTTTCATTGGTATTGCCATAACTAAGCACAGGAACCTTTAAAGTAGAATAGACTATTTCTCTAATGATTCCTGACATAGACAGTCTGCACAGCTTTTACTACGGCTCGGTTTCCCTTGAGGGTCTTACCACGACTATTTCGTCAAAAAAATGACGTCACAATAGCTCAACCAGTTCTTTGCATGTACATACGTATATATTTATGTATATGATATGATTACTAAATCACTTTTCAATCTAATAAGTTGTCAGGTAATAATTAACCTCAAGCCTAAATATTCAAATATTTGTTTTGTATTTACAGTCGACGCTGTACTAAAATGTTGGCGCTGCTCAACTGATGTTTCCAATGGTGGCTTCTGCGATGATCCCTTCGATCCAGAGTTTATTTCGGATCAACAACGTTACTGGAGTTACGTGAATTGTTCGTATTCAACGAATTTCAAATCGGTTAACGCACGACCTGTTTGTAAGAAACTCGTACAAGAAGGTAAGTGAACGGAAGAACAAGAGAAAAGTGGAAAGAAAATTCAAACACTTTTAAAAAGTTTCATTTTTAATTTTCTAAATAGATTAGACAAAATTTAACATTCAAACTCTAACGTCATGCTGGAGAACTTTTAGTCGTCAATTTTCTGTTCAAATATAGAAAAAATACCGTGATTTAAATCTATTTTAACAAATCCCAAATGTTACTTTTGAGTTTCCAAATAATATACCATGTTGAAATATAAATCCCAGCGAAGCGGAAACGCTTATGCCATGCAAACAACGCGACTACTCCTGCATGCGTGAAATATTTATTCCACGCGGACAATAGAGTAATCCAAAACTAACCACAATCCATAAAAAAGAACGTCCAACTAACATTTCGATGCCCCAGAACTGAACAATATACACTCCACCACCGAGCAATCCAGGGAGTGCATACAGAAAAATTAAATTGGAAAACTGTTTTTAATTTTGAATACAATCCCTTTGATGAAAAGTTAGTAAAACTTAAAAATTATCATAAAAATTTAAATTTATATTAATAATTTGTTTGCCAATTAATATAAAACAAAAGAAAAAGTAAGAAGCAATGACCCCGCCGAACTATAAACCTACACTTTGAGTATGGAAAAGATTTTTAACAATAAATATTAGATCGCACCAGTCGCGAGGGGCGACAGCTTAGCTTATTTACATAGCCATCGGGGGGGAAATGGGCCCCATCAGCCAATATAATAATGCTATGAAATTTTCAACGTGAATTTTAATCATTTCAATGCGTTGTTGAATCACGTATCGTGCCATTTTTATCACTGGCGTAGTTTTTACTTGTCATATGACGTCTATAGATCCAATAGTACACTACAGAGGGTGGCTATTGGAGTACTCCAATGGTTTATATCGTACAAAAATTTTTGCGGGGCATATGTATGGTCACATGCATACACATACAGAATTATTTCAACCAACGTATTACATATACATATAACAACTCAACAACAAAAACAATTATCATACAAATATTATTTACAAACAATGGTTCGTGACCGGAGTTGACAATATGAGGCGGTACCGGCAGCTTTTGATTTATTCTCTTTGGATATTTAAAAATTTCCCATTTTTTCCATTTATGTGAGCTGTGTTATCATATTTGGTTGATTACCAAAAATACTATGGGCCAAAACAATATTAAATTATATTTGGGTAGAAATCAGCTTTTACTTATTAATATTACTATGCATTGCATTCAAGAAAATCGATTAACACGAGGGTTGCCTTTTACATTTCGGGTTAAGAGAACATAAACAATAATTATTCATCGAAAATCGCTTTATAGTTTTTCAAAATTTTCTTAATTAAGATCTATACACTTGTGCGTTGCGCCTCAATTATTTGTCGAAGTTCCTTTGCCAGTCTAATTGAGATATCTCCAAAACATGCTTTCTGATCGCATCAACTGTCTCAAGTATCGGAAAACGTTAACCTCTCAGGAAATTTTTTATGCACCGGCAATGAAAGAAGTTCTTCGATACCAACTTAGTACTAAACGGGGGATAACTCATCTGATCAATGATTTGGGTGCTTAAAAATGCAATTGTTTCAGTCGATGTGTGAGAGACACGCATTGGCCGGATGAAGAGTGGTGCGATCCGTCTTCGTCGGTTGGTTTTCCTGATTTCTTGAGATAGTCTCTCAAATTAGCAAACAAATTGTTTTTTATCACTCAGAATTTTAGCTTATTCTTGTGGTGCGATAGTGTCATGTCCAGTTTTTCTAAAATAAGAAACAGAAAGTTTGTCTTTGATAGTTTTTCGATTGATTGACTCAGTGCGTTGTGAGCTCTCGTCAAAGATGGACACCAGCCAAGAGATGGAAGGTCCTAATGCACCCACCTTATAGTTCGGACCTTGCACCAAGTGATTACCATCCTTTGCTGTCTATGGCGAATGCGCTTAATGGTGAGAAGTTGACCTCAAGAGAGGCCTGGGAAAATTGGCTCTCCGAACTTTTTGCCAATAGGTTCGCAGCTTTCTACGAGAGGGGTATAATGAAGTTAGTATTTCGTTGGCAACAAGTTTGCGAACGAAACGGCGCATATTTGAATTAAATTGGCCAATTGCGACTACCTCTGCTAGAGATAACACGACCAGAAAACTTTGCCCTTAAAAGATCGATGGTTTCATTGCTTGTGTGGCATGTAGCGTAGTCTAGTTGAAAATAAACGTTGTCCAGTTCAAAGATATCCAATTCCGACGACAAAAAACCATTAATATCTATAATCATCTCTATATAGCACGTTTCAATTTACCATGCTCCAGTTCATGGCTTATTTTCAAAAAAGTAAGGTACAATGACCACGCTGGGCCATAAACCGCACCAAACAGTTACACGTTAAGGATAGATATGCTTTTTAAATCTTCGGTTTTCCGAACCCCAAATGCGACCGGTTTGCTAATTGATCTAGCCATCGATGTGGAAATGGTCCTTTTCAGTCTTGGCGTTCCTAATATATATTTTTCATGCACTTCATGGACCGAATCAGCAAAGAAGCGGCGTTTTCGATGATCACTTGGCTTGAGTCTTTCTACTAACTGAACTTTATAAGAATTAAGACCCAAGTCTTTTTGCGTAATACGCTGTAATGGCGTCTGTGAAATGTCCAATCAAAAAGAACAACGAATAACGGACAAACCTGAGTTTCATTCAACACTTTGGGCTACGGCAACAATAAATATTGAAGAGAAATGGAGGGTCCTAAATTATATAGAAAGCTCCCCAAACGACTGCAGGATTTTTATGAGGAACTTTTATACGATGTTGGCCAAAAATTCGGAGGGGTTTACATAACTGCCCATTTTATTGTCAAATTATTTTTTCAATTCTGGTTATTGGCCTTACCAAGCTCGAACCCTGACCTTTCGATTGTTAGTACGCACTGCTAACCAGGAGACAGCGGTTACGCTAGTTAGGAAGTATCAAGTGGAAAGCGACTTGCCTTTACTAGGTGTCCCCAGTTGGCGTAAAGAATAAAAGACCGGTGTGCTTTTGCCGATTCGGCTATAATACCGAACAAAAAAAAGTCTATCTAGTCTATCTAAAGTTTTGGCCCTTGGCCAAATAAAATCCGTTTTAACACCCGTGCGTGAGGTCGCTCAAGACTAACCTCCTCTTTGCATGTCCCCTAAAACCCCCTCGTCTAACGCACCTTTCCCGCTGGTCGAACTCGATGACTAAACTAGTCTCGCCTGTTCCTTAGTGGCGTTTGCGCACCGGGAAAACAACAATAACAACAACGACGAAAGAGTTTCGACACCTACAAATGATTTTAGCATAAAAATCACGGAGGTCCCAAAATGAAAAATTCATTGTGACATATTTACATTTGTATAAAGTCCACCAATTGAATGGCATGAATTGCGTATTGGTGCCGAGATGTCAAAGAGATTTAAATTTATTGAGCTAACAAATGAAAACAGAAACTAGCGGGTGGTGCAATTGGCGTCACTGACAATGACATTCGCGCTGCGTATAAATCCAAAGCGGCGGGCAAGCGCTAACTGAGGCACACGCAGCCCCACAGATAAACAGATGCATATGTACATACGTTCATATATATATATATGTACATAGTACATACATTACTGTAATCTACACTATCCTCTTGTGCTTGAACTATATGTATATGTATTTATCGTTCCATTGTCCGAAATTCACCTAATACAACTCACCTCTTCCAGCACGTGCGCCTCTCACCTCGCACATCTCCCCTTCAAAGCAGGCTACCGAAAAGAGAAATTTTTTTTTGATTTTTTTTAGCTAAATCTTAGCTCTGCATTATCCAAGTGTCACTCGTTGACATTTGCACTACAAATTCGCTTGTGTTGTTTCTGTTATTGTTGGCTACATGCGGCGCTAATTTGCTGCAATTTATTACACCATTTTTCCAGCAACGCCGTCGGCGGTGGCATTTTGCTGCAAATTCGTTTTATTATCGCCGAAACACAAAATCGTGACGACTTCGTCATCGTTATTATTGTTGTCGACGTCGTCGTCGTCGTCGTCGTCGTCGCCGCGGCCAACGCGTTGTTGATTTGTAAAAATATTGCAAAAATTTTTTTTTTCTGAATGCAGACATTTTACATACGAGTACATGTGTATATGTATGTACGTGTATATACATGTGTTGTATTTTTCGCAATGTGAGTTTGTATGTGTGTGGCTTGTGCATCGAAATTCAGAGGCAGCGCTTCTCATTGCCGACTTATTGTTGCCCACATGTAGTTGTGCAATACAATTGTGGCTTTCGTTTTGTCTTTTGTGCATTTTTAACGGTTATATTACTTATGAACATATTTTCCAGCGTCACTTTGTTATCACCGCAATTTCTATTTTATCGCAAATGCTTTCAGCACTTATGTACATACCCATAAATATGTATGTATTCAACGAATGTGAATAGGTGTAGCGAAAGCCGAACTAGTCAATCAACTGTCGGTGTACTAAGAGACGGCAATTGTGAAAATACTGTTAAGCAATATACTCGTACTAGTATCATACTAGTATCACTAGTTAACCCACCATTTATTTGGAAATGATAGTTAAATGAAAACATTCGGAAGGCTCAGGTTCAAATCCTAGTGTCGTACTAATATCCAAAAAGATATAGAAACTTTATTTAAATAAAAAATTACGCTGATTTCTAAATTTTCTAATTTCGGTCTCCGCTCGGCAGGTAATGTCAAGACCTCCGAGTGTATCTCCGACATTAAATAAGGTCCTTATAAAAAATCATCGGCAGTTCCGAGACATCCTTGAATAAACTGTAGGACCCTTTATTTGTTAGAAAAACATCAAAAAAATCGGACGAAAAACGTTTCAGCGGTTACAAAGCGCCTATCGTATATAACAAATTCTTTGAAAGATCTCAAAAATGTATCCGTCCGGCAGGTGAATATATTGAACCGAAAAAATGATTTGCAATTGGTCCCGGCTTGGTAT